TTCTCAAGAGTTGTCTTTTCAGTGAATGGGTTAATTAAAGCCTTTTTTGCTGGTGAATATGGTCTGCTGCATTGAGGAGGAGATGCTTTCATCTCTTCATGAGCTGATGAAGCTGATTTATAAAGCACATGTGATTGGTGCTCTAGGACAAGGATCTTCAACGTTTTCCAGGCCAAGGACCCTCAAACTGATGGCGAGATGGAGTGGGGACCCCCTAATCATATATATATATATATATATATATATACACATTGGGATTGAAAAACTCTTTTTCAAGGGAGTCCCGGCCAAGAGGCAGCAAAGTTACGAAACCAACATAAATACATTAAAATAAATAACAAAAGAAGAAGAAAAGAAGAAAAACAAAAAAATATATATCAAGGAAAATACTTACTGATCATTGAGGCTGCTTCAAATTCTTGTACTTTAAACTTAAAAGAATGTAAAGATAAAAACTCAGTCAATTTTCCAGTTTCTTCCATGCACAAGGAGCTGCATATTGTAGCTAAAGGCTTTCTGTGTGCATTGATGACTGAAAGACATTTTCTGCCTCCATTTATCTGGAGGTTTACTACAGTGTGTTGAATTCATGTTAATGTGTATTTAAAGCCATTTAAAGACATTTCAATTAGTGGAAAAAATTGCAGGGGGTTATATAAAAAAACTAATCAGCCCAAACTTTCGTGACCCCCATGCAGTACCTCTGCGGACCCCCTAGGGGTTGTGGACCCCTTGTTGAAGTCCTCCGCGCTAGGAGGTATCTAATGTTCTCTTTCTAAAGATGAGATAACTACCCATCTTTACCTATACGGAGCTCAACAACTCAGAACCATTATTTAAACCAACTGTTTTTCTTTCAGATGTAGCTTTCAGGCTGTGATTGCTGAATAGCTGACACTTGATATTTAAGCCCTACAAAAAAAGCAGGCTGTTTTTTCCTGTACCAGCTACTGTTTAGCCACCACATGCAGCACTGGTGTTTTTGGCATCTCTAGTTGGCATGCTAACTCAGCTTCCACAGGAAGTTCTGTGGTTTCTAGTTTGGTGCAGTTATCTGTTTGAATGCTGCATCATAAAACACTTGCACGCTTATGCCACCCCAGAATGTTTGTTATGCACCACAGACTTGCCTTTGTTCAAACACACATTGTTCTGAGTTTGAATCCTCTGGTTATTTAGAAGAAATATTATAATAGTTTGTGTTATTGATTTTGTGATAGATCTGCAGACATTGGATTGTTAGAGCTCAGACATCAGACAGAAGAATTCAGATGTTTTGACATGTTTTTTTTTCTGAACTTGTCTGGTGTTCAGTTTCGGATGAAGATGTTCTAAAAAAAAAAAGAACTTGTCAGCGGTTTGGACAACGGTGTTGTTTCCTCTTGACAGAGGATGTGTCAGGAACACAACTCATTCTCTGACTGGAGCTAAATTGGTTTTCATGGTATAAAAGTTTGTCTCTTTCTCATTATGTGTCACAGCCATTCCACCTCCACCCATCCTTCTCCTTCTCACTCTGCCCTCCTCGTTCAGAGTTTGATTTGATCTTTCTAACGTCTCATCACTCACCATGCTGTGAGATGAGCAATGCCTCTGCAGCTCCTCACCTCAAAGTCATGAATCATTTATTCAGATGAGTTTGTGACAGCCTCTAAAACCCAACAAGAAGAAACTTTATTCTGTTAGTGGAAAAGGCTAAGCTGTAGAACAGACTAGTCCATCTTAGAACAGATTGTGTGGTCCTAAAGTTAGTGACACCAATCTTGGTTCTGGTTGGTACTATTGCATTATGGGTAATTAACCAGGATAGCCTTAACCAGAGGTCAGTTATTGACGTCAACACTAGTATAAAACAGTATGAATGACGAGCCCAGACATCCAACATGAAACACATTCTGATGCTGGACCGAACACAGTAGAAGTTCTTCTTGATAGGAGAGCCTTGAAATATGCAAACTGCTCTCCTTTCACCGAGGCGTATTCAGATCCCTGTTTGGTTTCAGTTGAGGTTTTAACCAGGGAGCAAGGGTTGAGTGCCTTCTATTTGTGCATGGAAAAACAGAGAAACTGGGAACAATGTTATGCACAAACGTGTTCAATGAGCATGCAATGAAGCAGAGGGCTTGGCAGAGTTATATGAACTAACAAAGGTGGAAGAAACTCTTGTTTTGTGCAAACTGTGCCCAGCGAGACTTAACAAACAAGTCCGTACATCAGCCACATCCACTTAAAATTGAAGGCGACACATCGAATTAAAGCATCCGAGCTATTTTGCAAAATATCTGGTACTGAATGAGGGCGTAAGAAATCATTTTTGATTTGATCTTTTCAGCAGAACCTGAATTTTCCTGTATGTTTCTGAAGTTTTGTGTAATCTGGCTAAATAAAGGCTTCAGTTCACATCCAGTATACTTGGACTGTATCCAGTATTTTCCAACTCTTTCTATATATTATGTTCACACATTTAAAAGGTAAAACATGAGGCTCTATTGTGTAGGATTGTGGCTTTATTTACCAAATGAAATTGAAATGAATAATGAGTTAATTTAAAGGTTTGCAAACTTAGTTCACTTTTTTTTTATCTATGAACATGAGCTAGTTCACCTTCATCTGTGAACTCCGAACTTCTTTTTGATCATGAACTAGCACATCATGCACTGTGAAACAGCAGCATTTCATAGCTGTCAAGTCTCCCAGTCTGTTGCAAGATCATTGTGTTTAAGCCCTCCTTCCTGGCATTGCCT